CCTTAAGGGCTATATGATTTGCAAGTATTTTCTCCTATTCCATGGCTTGTCTTCATTTTCTTCGTTCTTTTGTATGTGGCAATCCAAATGTCCCAACACCATGTTATGGACAAGACCATTCTCCCCACCACTGAATGATCTTGGCACCCTTGGCACCCTTGTCGAAACTCAGCCACGCATAAACAGGTCTGTTTATACATATATACACGGGACTCTCAATTCTGTTCCATTCATTTCTACAGTTGACTTATGTCAGTACATACCACCCTCTCTTGATTACCATTTCTTTGTAGTAAGTTTTGAAGTAGGAAATTATGAGTCTTCCTGTTTTATTCTTGTTCATGATTCGGCTATTCCAGCTTCCTTGAAATTCCGTATGAAATTTAGAATCCACTTGTCGATTTCTACCAAGAAGTCAGCCAAGAGTCTTACAGGGATGGCACTGAATCTGCATATCAGTCTGGGGAGTGTTACTTTACCAGCTTAACAATATGAAGTCCTTTCATGCACAAACACAGGGTGTTTTCCCATTCGTTTGGATCTACTTTAATTTCTTTTTTTAAATAAATTTATTTTTTTTGAAGTGGGCTCTAGGCCCAACATGGGGCTTGAACTCACAACCCCAAGGGCAAGAGTCACATGCTCTATTGACCGAGCCAGCCAGGCACCCCGATCTGTTTTAATTTCTTACAACAATGTTTTGTAGTTTTCAGAGTATAAGTTTAGGACTTCTTTTGTTTGGGAGCCTCCAGGCCATGAAGGCGCCCCAGAAGTTATCAAGTCCAGAGCTGAACTGAGTCTGTGTTTTCTTGAGCAATGCCTGTAGATGCAGAGGTAGCCAGGCACACTGGCCAAGCCCCTCTTAGGGGGGTCCTAGCTGTATCCACCATCCATGGCTTGGTGTCAGCTATACTCTCCGACCCTCACCCCTGGCACTGGCCTCTAGGCTTCCTCAGGGCTAGTCATCTATGAATCCTTGCTTGCCAGAAGGTCCCAGAGATTCCTTAAGGGTGCGATCCCGACAGACACACACTCTCCTTGGGTCTGCAGCTACTACCTTTGATGCTGTTCGGAATAGAGAAGCGTACCTCCCCCCGTTTTTGATATACCCTGATGAGAGTCATCCCTGACCAGCCTGGGCACAGGATCTCAGCTCAGTGAGAGGATTCTTCCACCCTCACAGGTACCCTTTACTGCCCCCTGTGGGTGGGAGGTCACATCAGAACCCTGGTGGGTCCGGAACCAGGCCCTCTACCTTCACCCCAGGCCCAACATGCTAGGCCAGCTCCAAGCAAGTCTCCTCTCTCCAGGACTGTGACTTCACCCTGTCATCTGGCCTCTAAGAACACTCCACCTCACTTGTTAGACACGTCTATTTATGTGTAAAGCCCAGTAGTGGACGAGATGGGGCTTCGGTCTTCCCCCCTCCAAAAACAGAATGCTGGGTGACTCAGAACAGGAGCCACCTCGCACTACATATCAGAATCACGGATTCTTAACCCTAAGACAGTGTTGCACCAAGGCCACCTGGCTGACCCAGCTCCCCATTCGACATTCCCTGTGCCCCATGTCAACACTGGATGGAGCCCACGTGAGTACTAGCCCACACTCCTCCCCATATGGATGGACCAGGTGAAAGGCTGTTTCTTACTCAGGGAGAAATGACAGGAGTGGAGCCAGGTGTTGGCAGGACCAGACCTTAAGGCCCACCCAGAACTGGCCAAGATGTTGGGCACCTGGGCCTCTCAGTCAGTTAAGCCTCTTTGACTCAGGTCATGATCTTGGGGTCCTGGGATGCCCCACATCAGCCTCCCTGCTGAACAGGGAGTCTGCATCTCCCTCTCTCTTAGTCCCTCCCCCAACCCCGCTTGTGCTCTCTCTCTCTCTCAAATAAATAAATAAATAAAATATTTTAAAAAGAGGAAAGAACTGGCCAAGTTGCTGCACAGCTGAGTAGAGTAGTCTCTATGTGACTGGCCCCCAGGCCTGACAGGTAGATTCATAGTCTTGTCTGCCTTCTCTACCACTCCCTTCCCTTGTCCTCCATTCCCCGGCTTGGCCCTTGCTTTGAGTGACACATGCTTACTGCATTAAGGTAAACCAAACTTGTCAGATCCTAGGCAGAAGAAACAAGCAGCTCTGTCACCTCCCCTAAATGGGGTTCCATACTCCTATTGAAGTGGCCACACACAACCCACAGGGAAGGCTGGTAGAGGTGATGTGGAGGGGAATGTGGTCCAGAAAGAAGATCATGGTCCAGACCAGATGGAGCTATTGATAGCCCCCACTTCCTTGGTCCTGCCTTCCCTGTCCTCCCATCCCTAGTCTCTTGAACCCCACACTGATGGTGAACTCTCCACTGTTTTTTGTTTGGTTGGTTGGGTTTGTTTTTTTTTAAGTAGGCTCCACACCCAGTATGGAGCCCAACATGTGACTTGAATTCACAACCCAGATCAAAACCCGAGATGAGATTAAGAGTTAGTCGCCCAACTGACTGAGCGCCCCCTCCATTAATGTTGTTAAAGAAAATATGGAAAATACAGAAAAGTTAAAGAAAAAAAATCAAGGTCACTAATGCGTGCCACTCAGAGGCAACCACTGACACCATTTTGACATTAATCCTTCCTGTTACTTTAGACATCTTTGGAGTGTTTTGGTGTTCACTCTCCATGACCAATGTATAATTTCAAATTCTGCCCTTTTCAAGTTCTTGAACGACATCAGCCTTTTCCCAAGTACTGATGACAACAGCTGACATAATGGGTTTTCCCTGTTTTAAGTGCCTTCCCTGCATTGGCCCCTTTAACCCTCACTACAGCTGTATGAGTTAAGTACTATTATTATGCTGATTTCACAGATGGAGTAACTGAGGTTCAGAGAAGGTAAGTGATTTTCCCACGGTCACACAGCTTATGAATGGCAGTGCTGGAATTCAAACCCAGCAGCCTGGCTCAGAACCACCACATTAAGCCATCTGCTGCTATAGAGTCTTAGAGAACATGCCATTACTGACCGTGTAATATATATTATATAATGTAGATATAACATCCCTTCTGGTCATGTTGGGCGGGGAAGACTGTTGCCAACAAGGCTACAGGATACTTACCACATAAACAATTTTTTAAAAGATTTTGTTGTTATTTATTTGAGAGAGAGAGAGCATGAACAGGGGCAGTGGCAGGCAGAGGGAGAGGGAGAAGCAGACTCCCTGCTGAGCAAGGAGCCTGAGGCAGGGCTCAATCCCAGGACCCAGGGATCATGACCTGAGCTGAAGGCAGATGCTTAACCAACTGAGCCCCCCCCCAAGGCACCCCTTAACTCCTGGTTTTAATTAACATTTTATGCCTACTCAAAAGGTGGAATATTTTCATAAGTGCTTACCTATTGTCTCTGGATAGATAGCAAGGCTGTGATGAAGGCCACACCAAGGGGTGCCTGGGTGGCTCAGTCATTAAGCGTCTGCCTTCGGCTCATGTCATGATCCCAGGGTCCTGGGATCGAGCCCCACATCGGGCTCCCTGCTCCGCGGGAAGCCTGCTTCTCCCTCTCCCACTCCCCCTGCTTGTGTTCCCTCTCTCGCTTTGTCTCTCTTTGTCAAATAAATAAATAAAATCTTAAAAAAAAAAAGTGAAATATCTTAAAAAAAAAAAAAAAAGACCACTCCAAGGCAGCTCTTGTTCATGAGTATAGAGCACTCTGCTGCATGCTTAGGTGCCCCCAGAGACTGGAGTGAGGACAGCAAAACAACACTGCTTAGAGCAAAACTCTGAGGAGAGCCTCACTGTGTGACCTTGAGCAAGTTATATAACTTCCATTGCCACATATATATGGTGCAATAATAATGACAATTACCCTCTACATGTTTTAGGAGGACGAGGTGAGAGTCCATGTAAAGTGTTTGGCACAGTGCCAGAGGATCAGTAACTCATGGTTGTTGGCTAGTCAATCAGGAGTGGACCCAGGCTTCAGGGCAAATCCAGATAATGTGGCAGACCTCCGCCTCCGTGCTCTGTCCTATGAGACCTCAGGCTGGTCATTGCCCCTCTCTGGGCCCATAGGCCTCCCCCAGCTCTCCCCAGGGCCAGTGAGAAGCTCACATGGCAGGACCATGTGAAAAGGCTTTGTAAACTGCAAAGAACAGCACACATAGGAGATTTGAGATGACCCTTTGCCCGCACTGTTCTGCCTACATGATTTTGCAGGCTCACCATTACAACCACCCCTCGGCGCTCAGATATTGCTTTCATCAGCCCTGCAGAGACCTGGGGACATGCACAGAGAGGTGCTTTTGGCTGCCTGCAGCTGGAGTGTGTCCTCTATCACACCAACTCCAAATGCTATTCCCAAAACCGGGAGGTGTTTGTAAATCACTTTCCTGATGCAACCCTGACATTCTCATTCAGAGGGTGGGCCTAGGAACCTGGGTTTTAACAATGATTTCCCCCACGTGATTCTGATACACAGGCAAGTTCAGTAATACTTGGATCATATTTGCTTTCTGTCATTTGCAGAGTGAGCCCCAGGGGACCAGGGCACAGAACAATTCAGTTTTGATAAAGGAGGGGAAGAAATGACAAGGGTGCTTCAGGAAAGGGCAACAGATGTGAGGCCTAAGTGACGCTTGGCAAAGCGAGTGGGGCTGGATGAGAGCCCAGAAGAGGAGGCAGAGGTTAAATTCAACTTGGTCTAGTTCATATTCAGTCCAAGAGCTGGCTAAGGTGTAGATCTTCTTGTGGTGTGTCTGTGTGCCTATGTGTAACATGTGAATGAATGTATGCTACATACGGATACACTGTAACCTTTATATAACTGTTCTTACATGCATATGTATGTATGCATATGGGTGTGCATTTAGCTCTTGCATTTCTGCATGCTTCATTGTAAATGAGCTGAGCTTGTATATACCTATGTATGTATAGATTTGTATATACATGGGAGTATTAATTTGAGTAGATATATGAATGAGAATGCCTATATGTGTGTGATTTCTTCCCAGAAGTATGCCAGGTAAATGTTAGCAATAAGAAAGAGATATGGTAATATCAATATCAGACAAGCAGAATCAAAATGACACAATGATATTGACATTAAATGATGCATTAAATGACAGAAAATAATTTATATAACAGACATGAACCTTTATGCACCCACCAACATAGTGTTGAAATCTTAAATCTTAAATAAAGAGAGAGAAACATACTGAGAGAAACACAGAAAAAGTGGGCAAGTACACAATTGTGAAAAGCTTCCAGCTGCAACTGGTGCCATGGCAGATGGGACAGAGTTCTTTCAGGGGCCAGAGTGACCCTTCTCCTCTCTTCCTAGGTACCCTGCACACCAAAGAACCTCTAGTGGTTACCAAATATGGGACCCTCCAAGGAAAATAGATGCACATGGGAAGACACCCATCAATGTCTTCCTAGGAATCTCCTTCTCCAGACCTCCTGTGGGTGCCTGCAGGTTCACTGCCCCAGGCCCCCCAGAATCCTGGGGAGGAATCAGAAATGCCACCACCTATGTCCCTGCGTAAGAGCCAAAGGACTAATGTCTGGGAGGTGGGCAAACCTTAAGGAGGGCAGTGGACCAATGCCTGCCTCTGGGTCAGGGTTTGAACAACACTCTAAAAAGGGTCCACTGTGTGGCCATAAGTGGGCCAGGGGCCCATTCTGGGCCTCAGTTTCCAAACCTATATAATGAAGTAATTGGCCCAGATGGTGTTTAAGGCACTGATAATTCTGTTCTTGTCTCTCTCATGGGAGAGCTCCAGGTAAGGAGGAGGTGCTCACTGATGTGCCCCCGGGACCTTCTGGGAGCTGAGTTGTCCTAAAAGTATGTGGGGAGCAGTTCATTTGTGCTTGCTTGCTTGCTTTCTTTTTCTTTCTTTCTTTCTTTCTTTCTTTCTTTTTTTCTTTCTTTCTTTCTCTCTCTCTCTCTCTCACTCTCTCTCTCTCTCACACACACACACACACACACCATACCCAGTGAACCCTGAGCTCTTCCCTCTCACTTGGGACTTGAGCCCAAGGACAAGCCCACATGGCACATCCAACCCTTCACTGCAGAAGGAGCTGCAAGATGGGGAGGTCACAGGCTCAGGTTCAGTTTTAATGTCCCAGAATCTTAATGCAACCTCTAGCAAGGCTCAAACCCTGAGTCACATGAGCATTGTTGAGATTATGACTGCCTTTTGAAGCCTTGGGCTTAGGAATTTACCCAGAACAAATGTATTAATTATTTATTCAGATCATTGAGTAACCCACTGTCCAGAATATTCTGTGGCAATCATTAACAATTAGTTGGATAAAGCACTGGGTTTAGAAAAATGTCTACTGTAAGAACCTGGGTGTCAGTTGATATTAAGAAACTACAACCACCAGAGTGCCTGGGTGGCTCAGTGGGTTGAGACTCTGACTCTTGATTTTGGCTCAGGTCGAGATCTCAGGGTTGTGAGATCAAGCCCTGCACTGGACTCCATGCTGGGCTCTGCACTAGGTGTGAAACCTGCTTGAGATTTTCTCTGTCTCCCTCTGCCCCTCCTCCATCCCACACAAGCACAGGTGCCCTCTTGTTCTCTCTCTAGAAAAAAAGGGGGACGGGTGCCTGGGTGGCTTAGTCAGTTGAGCGACCAACTCTTGGTTTCAGCTCAGGTCATGATCTCGGGATCATGAGATCAGGCCCGCCAAGGGCTCTGCACTGTGTGGATTCTGCTTGAGATTCTCTCTCCCTCTCCCTCTGCTCCTTCCCCTGCTCATGCACATTCTCTCTCTCTCTCTCTCTCAAATAAATAAATGAATCTTAAAAAAAAGAATGTTAAAAAAACTATAACCACCACCCTGGGTGTCTAATTGTTGAGAACAGGGCATCCACTGTTAGAACATGAATGGCTGTTACTAGAATGCTGGGGTGTTGGTCATTAGAACAATGACCACCACTGAGAGAAGCCCAGACATTCTGAACACTCTGTGATTGTTATTTGGAATCCCATGGATCAGGTGACAGAACATGGGATAGCCATTGCTAGAGCCCCAAGGATCAGGGGTTTAGAGATTGGGGTATCCACTGCACCGAAGTCTGGGTGTCAGTTGTTGGAACATTGGCCATGAACTGTCAGACAATAGCGCTTTGGAACACAGAGTGTTAGGTATAGGAATTTGTGGATGGCTTAGAACAGACTACGGGGTGGTAGTTAAGAGGGGAAGAAGACCAGTGACTAGTTTGGATAATGACTAGTTTGGGGGCAGAGCAGCAAGGGAACAAGCAGAGAATGGAGCAGAATAGGCAGACAGGGTCTCCTGTAGCCAGTCAGATGGACCCAGCCCCAACTATTGAGAACAGCCACTCTCAGGGCTGGGCCAGCAGGGAGAAAAGGTGAGGTGGCCCAAGAGCCAAGCTCCACAAATGTCCACATGGGTGCCAGGACTCAGATAAATCCTCATCCATCCCTGCCCCTTGGGAGTGCATGGTTCAACTCCAACCCAGTACTGTAGTCAACGTGGTTAGAGCTTTGGGGAAGCACAGAGGGGAAGTGCCCAGCAGAGGGGGAACCACTTGCGCTGAGCCTTAAACATGAGTAGGAGTTTGCCAGGCAGAGGAGAAAGCATTTGGCAGAGGGGACAGAAGCAAAGAGAATTAGAGGTGGGAGGCTAGGGTCCATGTGTATATGCAGGAAAGGGTGGCCAGACAAAGGCTAGATGGGGAGGGCCTGGGGCAGTGCGGGTGAATCTGGCCCTAATCCTGAACACAGGGGGGCCCAGGAAGGTTTTAAGGAGGGGAGTGAAATGGTCAGGTTTTTGTTTTCTATCAGTCCTCTGAGGAGGATGAGTTGGAAGGGATATAAAGAGGCTGGGGCAGTGTCCTGGCCAGATGTGGTAATGGCCTTGGCAGGGCAGCAGCTCTGGAATAGAGGAAGAGGCCTATTTAAGAGCTGTTTGGGAGGCAGAACAGAGACTGAGGGAGGGGAGGGGACATGAAAGACAGGGAGGTGCCCAGGGTGCCCAGGTCTCTGGCTTGACAGCACCAACAGCGTCTCCAACAGGAGCAGGGAACCTCTCCCCACAAAGACTCATGGGGCCAGGCTCAAGGCAGAGGGGTGGATCTTGGGGAAGCCAAGCTGCCTCCCACCCCTGGACCCTAACGCTAGTGGAAGCCACTCGGACACAGGCAGATAGATACACACACCCACACACACACACACACACACACACACAGAGCCTAAATATTGCTTTTGGTTCTATTCCATTCCCTCAAATGCGGAACCTGGGTTTTCAACCATTCTCCGCTCTATGGCCACCACATTGGGCCCAAACTCATATCGTGGCCGCAGGAGGTTTCAGGAGGCCTGGGGCGGATCGCCTCCATGTATCCCAACACGCGAAAACAATACAAGTGGCTGAGCTTCAGCGAGGACGGTCTGTACCTGACCGTGTACCGCCAGCGCGCGCCTGGGGACGCTCTGCTTCGGCTGAGTATTCATCTTCACGCGCGCCGCCCGGCTCAGCCACTCCACCGCCCCGCTCAGGCCTCGGCTTTCCGCGCCCGGGTGATGGTCTGCTTCCCAGGAGGCCCCTTCCTCGTGGGCTCCGCTTCCACGTACTATGCGTCTGAACTGGCCGCCCGCGAGAAAGCGGTGCTTGTGCTGCGGCAGCATAGGCTCGGCATCCTGGCCTTCCTGAGGTAGGCGGGGCCGGGGACCGGCGCGGGGGCCTAGGGACCCGGCCTCCTCCGGACTTGTGCTCAGGGCGAAGGAGGTGCGGTCCGGCTGGAAGGGGAGGGGAGGGGGCTGTGGGGGCGTGGCTGCAAGAGGTGCGTGCAGGGTCTGCGCCTAACTTCTGCGGACGCTCCGTACTGCGATGGAGAGGGACCTAACTCTAGGGGAAGAGGTGTGGTCCCAAGACCAGGTGTCTCAGGGAAGCGGCGAGGCGAGGCGGGGCCAGGCAGAACCAGGTAGGATCCCCTGAGCAACCAGACGGTCGGGGCTCGGGACCCTGATTATAAGCCCCGCTCTCCCGAGCGCGGGCGACAGGCAGGCCCGCGGGAACTGGGTGCTGCTGGACCAGGTAGCGGCTCAGCGCTGGGTACAAAAAAAAAAAACATCGCAGCCTTCGGTGGAGACCCAGACTGCGTAACCCTGTTTGGCCAGTCTTCGTGGGCCATGTGTATCTCGGGACTGGTGAGTGCAGTGCCGGGGCAGACCCAGCACAGACTCAGGTCCACAATCCATGAGTGCATCCTCCGCTGCACAGATGCATGTGCAGATGTGTACAGGACCATGCAGGTCCACAGACCTGCCCTCACCCCGGCCAAGGGTACAACTCTGGCCATGGGTTGCACTGATGAGAAAACCAAGCCAGTCCGAGAGAGGACAGTGCTGAGAGTAGGGATACTCAGCATTGTCACCCAGCACCTCCTGCCTCCCTACCTCCCCCCAAAGCTCTATCCCCTGAACAGAGTGCACCCTCTGCCCTGTGGGCAAGGCTGGGGTCCAGACCAGGCCTGGGAGTCAGGGGCCTGGGTTGGAGACTGGGGAGCAACCACTGACCTGGAGTGTGCCTGCAGTGTGGGTGTCAGGTCAGGTACCCTCTGAGGGCCACGTTTGGGAGGTGAGCTGGGACCACATCACACAGGGCTTTACCTGCCACAGTAATAATACTGAAACGCTGAACACTTTCTGTGTGCCAGACATTCTTCTAAGCTGTTTCTGTGTATTCATTCAATTCTTTCAACAATCCAGAAAGGGAAGTCTCCTCTTTCTACAGTTCTACAAAAAGAGAAGTTTTCTCCATTCTGCAGATGAAGAAACTGAGGCCCAGAAAAGCTAAACAGCTTTATTCAAAATACCCTGGGAAAGATTTGAAGCAGGGAAGTGACACAGCCAGATGTGCATTTAGAGAGATGGCTCAGTGTGCTGAACTGGGTTAGAAAGAAATAGGAGCAGAGGCCTGGAGGCCAACTGGGAGGGAAGGTGGGGTATATCCCACAGGAGATGATGAGGGCTGGCTCTGAAACAGAGGCAGGAAGAATGGAAAGTGGACGGTCGCTGCAGAGGGATGCATGAGGCCAGATGGACAGGTGCAGTCTCATCCGAAAGGCCTCAGGGCAGCTGGGTAGATGGGTGGGCAGAGGTGATAGGAAAGGCCCCCAGGCCTGGGTGGATAGTGGGGGGTGAGGGATGCCCCCTCTCCATTGACCGACCCTAAGGAGCTACGCAGTTCCTAATCTAGAATGTTCCCGAAAATGAAAGCCTTTTGGTATGGAAGCAATAGTGGAAGGAGCAGGGTGGGACGTTAGCCCCCCACGTTCTGTTCCAAATGTCACATCATATTCCGACCCCCGGCCATTCCACAGTTGAGGAGAAGGCGCTGAGCCTCCAGATGATGAAATACGGGGCCGACTTTGCCCATACAGGGTGAGTCTGGTCCCCCAACACATCTGGGCATCTGACCCACTGGCCAGCTGCATCTGGTATTTGTCCCTGCGTGTCCCAAAGGAAATGCACAATCAGCCCAAGCAGACTGCCCCTTCTCCCTCACCTTTCCCCACTCACCAGGTCCTAAACGTCCCTAGGATGTGATTCTGTCTGTCCCATGACCACACTCTTCATTCACTCATGCATTCATAATGCTCTGTTTTTTACCCAGCCCTATACTGGGAGCTGGAATTCAAGAATCTTGCAGACATGACCCGCATCCTCCAGCAACTTGTTAATGTTATAACAAAAACATTAAGTTTCTGTACTGGGGGTGGGGGAGCAGAAGGTACTTTGAGAGCACGGAGAAGGGTGTCTGACTGAGACTGGATGGGCAAGAGTGGCTTCCTGGCAGAGGTGACATGTGTCTGAGCTTTGGCTAGCCTTGTGACTAGTCTCCCATCTCCACATTCTCTCTCCTTACCATCCATCTCCCTTATGACACTCAAGGGATCTTTGTGAAATATCATCAGACCAAGCCACTCACCTGCTTAAAACTCTTCATGGCTTCCCTCTACTCCCAGACTAAAGTCCCAAGCCCTTAGCCTCTTGGCATGAAAATCTTCAAAACCTTTACTGTGCCATCCTCTCTCCACATCCATCCTCTTCACACGCCCCATCGTTTCCTGTAACCTTACACTTGCTTCCTCCAAAAGCCCTGGTCTTTCGTACCTCCAACCCTTTGCACATACTGTTCCCTCTGCCTGGAAGGCCCTTGCCACCACATAGTCTTCTAATTTTTCTTAAAGGTGTATATATCATCTCTGTAAAGACTTCTTGGACCCCAACTCCCAAAGGGAAGGTGAATCAGGGAAGGGAAAGAGAAGAAGGCAGGGTGAAGACGGGCATGAACAATCCCCTTTCCTTCTTCCTTCTGCGCAGAAACCCCAATGTTGGGAAGCTGACCTACCGGCCACAATACAAGGAGGAGAAGTACCTGTGGATGGATTTCACCACGAGGGTGGGTGTGAAGCTCAAGGAGGAGAAGATGGCCTTTCAGATGAGACTGCACCAGCATTGAGGACCTGAGAAGCAGAGGCATTTTTGAGGGTGGTTATGCAGGTAGGGAGCCTAAGGGATTGTCCCACCACCTAAGCCTTAGGGAGAACTGACCATGGACACATCTGAGACAAGCGTCCTGCCTTCCACAATGTAAGACCTGCAGAGGCTCCCTCCTATCTCCAGGCCAGAGCTAGAGCCTTAGCCTGTTGTTTGGGGCCCTGCACTACCCTGTTCAGCCTGACATCCCATGATGCCCCCCTGTCTCACTGATGCCATCAGGTTAGGCCAGGTCCTTTTCCTGCTACGCTGTGCCCAGCCTCAGGGCAAACCCTACTCTTCCTTCTCGGAATCCTCCCACCCTTCAAGGTCGACTTGAAGCGACTTCTTTTGGGAAATCCACCCAGACTGCCACTGCCCCTAGCATTGTACCCAGTTTATCATTTACCACTCATCCTGCTCAACCTTGTGCCTGTTCACATCACATTGGCCTGAGGCCTTGGGCGGGTTACTTATTACATGTAGTGAAGCTTTGATAGCTTAGGATCTTCTCTCCCTCCCCTACTCACCTCCCCCCAAGGCCCCTCCAAAGCCTGGACCAAGGAATGGTCCTCAGTAAAAACGTGTGGACTTGACCTGAATTTCTCCATCTGTAAAATGGTTGAGCAAAGCAGATGGCATCTTGATTTGAGCCCTCAGAGGAAGGGTGCATTGCTGCCTGTTCCTCCTAGGGCTGAGCCTGCTTTGCTACACTCAGGGGCTGTGGCAATTTGCCTGGGTTGCAAAACACCTGGCTTTTTTCTTCACTGTCTCAAGTGTGCCCCTCAAGGACACCCATACCCCATGCTCACTTGTCCATGGGTTTAGGTCTTGGTGCTGCATCCAGACTCCTCACTCTGGCCTCTCCTACAACTCAACCTGGGCATACCCCAACCTGTACCACAAGTTTTTTTGGTTTAGTTTAGTTTTTTGTTGGTAAAATATATATAACATATAATTTACCATTTTAGTCATATTTAAATGCCCAGTTCAATGGTATTAAGTACATTCATGTTGTTATGTAACCACTGCCACTATCCATCTCCAGAATTTTTTCATCATCCCAAACTGAAAACCCTATATCTATTAAACACTAACTCCCTATTTCCTCTCATCCCCAAACCCTGATACCCACTATTCTACTTTCTATCCCGTGAATTTGACTATCCCAAGTACGTCATAGAAGTGCAATTGTACACTATTTGTCCTTTTGTGTCTGGCTTATTTTGCTTAGCATACTGTCTTCAGATTGCATCCATGTTGTAGCATGGATCAGAATTTCATACCCTTTTTAAGATGGAATAAATAATAAATAATACACACCATATTTTGTTTATCCATTTATCTGTTGATGGACCTTTGGTTTGTCTCCACCTTTTGGCTATTGTGAATAATGCTACTATAAACAATAGTGTAGCGTCCCACAGGTTTTATGCCCCAAACTACCATGTTGCTTAGTCTCTATTCCTAGGGCTTCCTGAGTTCCTGAGACAACTAGAAGCTGCAGAGAGTGGGGGGGAGGGCAGAGGCCCCCAATCTTCCATGCCCCAGTATCTAAGCCCCAAAAGCAAAGGGATGGATGGAAGAGGACAAAACCCCTTTCAAGCAAATATTTATCTTCACAGCAACCGTGTCATAGATTTTATTACCCATATTTTACAGATAAGGAAACAGACACAAGACATAAAAGGCCTTGCTCTAGGTCATGACCTAGTAGTGGCAGAGTGGGAATTTGACACAGGCCTGTCTGACTCACCCTGCCACCTCCATCCAGACCTGGAGCAATCCCTGAGGGAGGATGGTCCCCACAGGAGGTGTGGCAGCTCTCCTCTCAGGGGAGGCATAGGCAGCAGAATATCCCTGCCCACCTCTAACCAGGGGACAGTCAACCAAACAACCATTCAGTGGGACCCTGAGTGAGAGCTAGGAGCTCAGCCGCCAGAGGGTGGTCCTGGGCAACCTGAGCAGAACTCTGCAGGGACTAGCTGGGCTTGAGCGCCGACCTGGAGGTCCAGAGGTCTGACTGCAGGTTGGTCCAGGCCTGCTTCTGAGGGTCCCTCAGTTCCCTCCTCAGGCTCTCTCACGTCTGGGGAAGGAACCTTCTCCAAAGAGCCACCTGCCCAGAGGCTGTTATCTCCCAGATCCGAGGGTGTGCGGCTTAGGAAGAACTAGGGTTCAGTCAGGGCTCAGCCAGGCTGCAGCAGATGCCAGGCTCATAAAGGACTCCCAGGGATACCCTAGGACCTTCTCTCGGAATTGGAGCCTGGAGGAATTCCAGTGGTCAGCCAGGATGGTGGGCTGGCCCCTGCCCCCCACAGCTCCTGCCCCACACCCACCCTGTCCTCTCAGGAAGACTCCCCTCTCCTCGTGCGCTCCTCCTGGGGAGGCACCACTGGCCGAGGGAGGCGGGGAAGGCTACCTACTGGCCGGCGCCCACCTCGGCTTCCCAGCGGCACCCGAGTCTCCGACGGCCACCCAGAGTTGTTCCTAAAGTCCCTGCCAGGACCCATCCCGCAGAGAGCGGTTCTCAGATCTTGGTGAAGGCCCCAGGGCACTTGAGAGGCTTTTCCCTGGGTTGACCGCGGCGTGCCAGGGCCGCCGCGAGGACGAAGGCGGAGGGGCGCAAAGCCGCCATAGAACAGCGCGCACACGTGGCTCCCGCCCGCCCCGCGGCCCAGCTCGGGCTGAGCCTCACGCCCGGCTCCCGAGCGGCGCCCGTCCCTCCCCTGCTACACCCCGGCCGCCCCCACCCCGCGAAGCAGCAATTACCCGCGAGGGCGGCGGAGGGAGGGCCAATTAGTGCGGGAGACTCGGGGCGTCCGCGGTGCCGGCGCTGACCGCAGCCCCCGCAGCGCCGCCGCCGCCGCGGCCCTCCGGGCCCGGGCAGACAGCGCCGGCGGCCTGGGAGCCCCGGGGGACCCGCCGACCCGCCTCCTGCCAGCGGCAGTGATGGATCCAGTCGCCTGGCGCGGGGCCAGAGCCCGGGCGGACGCGAGGGCGCCGGGAGCTGAAACTCGCCGCCGTGGGGGCGTGAGGACGGGGGGCCGAGGGGGCGGGCAGCGGAACGGGGCCTCCCTCCCCTGGAGGACTCCTGCGCCCCTGACGGCCCGTGCCCATTGAGCCAGCTGTCAGCCGGCGGGCTGCAGGCGGCGCGGTGGGACGGAGCAGCCCCGGTCTCAGGCAGGCAACGCAGGCGTTCCGTGCAGGGGCGGGCTCTGCCCAAGGTCCTTGCGGTCTCGTGGTTCTCCTGGCTTCAAGCTCTCCAGGGCCCCGCTCGGGCTGGCCGCGCCCAGAGCAGTTCCCTGCTGGTGGCCGTGGAAGCCCATGCTGGCTAGTGCCCCCGTGGCCGGGAGGTGGGCAGGAGTTTGGGTGGGCAGCACAGGGCCACAGGTGCTCATCACCGATGGATGAGTCATGGACTTCCTCCCCAGGGTCCCGTGCCGTGACTGGCCACCTGTGGACTCTAGGAGACCCAAAAGGGATCAATCCTGCCTTCCAAGAGCCCACAGGCTGCCAGGGAGGATGCTCCAGGGCCTTGGCCGGGATCCCAAGCTTATGGAAGCTCTGAGGTCCAGGGAGGTATCAGGTGAAGGAGAGGGGCTGGAAGAGGAGCAGTAGGGTCAGGTGCCACCACTTCAAGGCTTCACCTTCCCCAACTGACCCCTTCCCAGCCCAAGCTGGACACACTGGAGCCCTGTAGTGAGGGACAAGGGAAGCCTATGCCCAAGACACACTAGATGAGGCTGAAGTTTCTAGAAGGGAAGATGCGGTGGGGGAGGGTTCAGGAGAAAGGTTCACAATTCTTCTGTGGGACTCCCCCATCAGTGCCACAGGGGCCTGGGTTAAAGGCACTGAGGCTCCTGACCAGTGCTGGATGCAGTGGCACGGGGTTCAGAGTGGCCTTTTCTCTGTGCCCTCTGCCCCCAGCCCTCTCATGTCTGGCCTTGGTAGGAACGGGCTGGCGACCTGCTGTGTGCCCTGAAGGGCCCCACTTCCTGGGAGGGAGAGGACATCGCTTTTCTAAAGGAGTCAGAACTCCCCTTTCCATATACCAAATTCATTAGCTGTGTGGAAAGAGAAAGCGCCTGTGAGAAACTGGCGTATGGGGACTGAGTGAGGAAGGGACGCAAGTGACAAAGTCGCCACCTTGAGTCCTTCATGAAATGAGGTGCAAGTATATTAAAGCATGAGGAAGAACAGAGCCAGATAAAAGAGACAGGGGAACAATCCGCCAAGAAAGTCAAGGGCGTGGAGGGAAGAAACAGAAGCAGGTGGACACACACGCAGACAGGCAAATGGACAGAGAGCCAGGGCAGTGCTGAGGCTGTTCAGGCTGCGAAAGAGAAGTACCCGGGTACTCAGACGGTGGCAGTAGGCAGGGATCTGTTTCTCATCCCAGTTGCCTGGCCACTAAGACCTTGGGTGGATGATAGAAAGGGTCAGTGGGAAAGGCTGTGGGAGCACAGTGAGATGCTGATGTAACTTGGGTGACCTGGTGAGTCAGAAAAGTCTTCTGGAGGAGCATCTGAAAGGACCAGTAGGAAAGAGTGGAGGGTATGGAGGCAGCGGGGTGGGCGGGGGGGAGGAGCTATGTCGGCTAGAGGGCACAGCAGGAGCAAAGGCTTGGAGGTAGGAATTAGCCTGTTCCATCCCAGGAGCTCTGTGTCACTGTGGCCCATACGGGAAGGCTAAGAGGGGAAACGGGCCCAGAACTGGGGCACCAGGTTTGTAAGCCTGGGAGGGAGCATGGACTCTACCTTGAGGCACTGGGGAGCCATGGGAGGGAAATGTTCTGGTCAGATTCACCTTCCAGAAGGATCTTTGAGATTACAGAATCCAGAGGAACCGAAGGAGGAGAGTAGAATTGGAGAAACCAGGGGAGGGCAATGCAGGACTAGACAATGAGTCCTTCATAGAAGACAGCGAGCAAGTTCATAAAGCAGATGGACAGGACTTGGTGACAGATGAGGGAAGGGGAGGTAG